GTAGTAATCATGCAGCCTGCTACTTTTCCACTGCCACTACTAAAAACAGCTCGAACTTTTGCAGAACCAATTGGTACTTCCTCCTGAGAAGAAACATGTATTCAGGATAAACAAAAAGTAGCTCACTAAAGTTACTCGGTCTTTACAAAACAGAAAACTCCCAGTTAGAATCCTAATGGAGAAATTAATGAATACTCATTTAATTGAAAGGACGAAGGATCTATCAACTTTGGAAAGATGTTGAACTACAATTAATGATGACGGTTTATGGACTTCTTTCGGTCAACTGATTTAAAATCCCAAAAGTGTGGTTACCTCAGCAGGTTCAAGAAGACCTTCCATGGCATTCAGTAAATCATCAATCAAATCAGAGATCACTTTGTACAGACGAATTTCAACACTTTTCTTCTTAGCATAGTTTTTAACTGATCCTGGTGCTCTGACATTAAAGCCAAATATAATTCCTTCTGAAGCAACAGCCAGATCAACATCGCTAACACTCACATCTCCTGGAGCTTGAAGGAGGAACCTCAGAGAGACATTTTCTTGTGGTAGAGCTTGGATGGCTTGCCTAATGGCCTCGATTGTACCCTATTTATCAATCGTTAGTATTTTCAGAAAGAAAGAACCATTATTATAAACAAAATGTTTACATGTATCACCACTACCTGAAAATCAACTTTAAGGATAACATTTAGCTCATGTGTATCAATTCCAGTTTGCTTCGCAGATGAAACCGATGCTGCAATAGATGAAAGCGTGACTTTTCCTTCCCAGCTTTTGCAGATATCCTTTCTAGGCGCAGTGCTTCAGCACGCCATTCGCCCTTTCACGCGGCAACATCAAGGTTGTCAACAACCTCAAATTCATCGCCGCAAGGGGAACATTATTGAGGCCAATAACCTATCAAGAGTTTTTGATAAAAATCAGGATGCTTATATCACTGGTGTTCCATGAGCGCTCAACCATTGGTTAAAGCAAAAGGAATCATCCTTTGAAGGTATAATGCAAGCTTGAAACACGAGCTACTCTACTATTTCATTTTGTCACACTGCTTTGGAGAATCCATGACTGACACAGAGCGTAATTTCTGAAGTCCAGGCTTATCCACTTGAAATCTATAGTTTTTTTCAGGAACAGTGGGGAGCCCCCTACCTGATTTTTTTTATATATAGATGAAAGAAACAAAATATGTACTGAGGTGTAATTCATAACAAATCTGGCATTTAGTCCTCAATAAAAAAATAATTAATGCAGAAAATAAAGCAGAGTAATCATGGTGATATATGTCAGTTATCAAGATCCAGTTTTGTTGTTCCAATAACCTTATTTTAATAATGGAGAAACATTCGGTGCATTCTCATAGTATAACTTTTACATGACTCATATTCACAAGAGCTAATGTATATTTTGCAGCAAAAGCAGGAGAATGCAATTCCAGTATAAATCTTTTGACATAAAACATAAATATGTTAGAATAAGGAGAAAGTAGGAAGGAATCACAGAAGAGAAAATTGAAGAAAATAGGGAAGGAAAAACCTGCACGGCATTGGATGGTCCTGCTTTGTCAACTAGCTTCCCACGGTCATCATACAATGCACGGATCTGTCATAATATAGGTGTGATGTTATATACCAATCAATCCACAAATATATGTGTTAGATTATGTTTTCCTAATGCTACATTGTATTCTCGATACATATTAACAAATGCAATGAATAAGGATATAGGAGACCAACCTTTCCATAAGCTTCACCACACACAATAATATCAGCTTTGTTTAGGGTTCCATTCTGAACAACCAAGGTAGCAAGAGGCCCTTTGGCCTTGTCAAGGCATGCTTCAATAACAGTGCCCTTCGTGATTTCTATGTGGATTGGCCTTTAATTCTTGCAACTTCAAATTTGCAACAAAAAGAAAAGGTCAAAAAGAACTTAATAGATTGCTGGAAAACATTGCGCAAACAGAAACGCATACCTCTGCAACAAGCATGACAGTCTCTAGAAGTTCATCAACATTGTCCCCAGTAAGAGCACTTATCTGGTAGATATCAACTAAAATGGCTCAAATAGGTAATAAGATGCTATACTATTGAACTACTGTTTTATAAAATTGGCACAATCAGCAACCTGAATCATTGGAGTATCACCACCCCACATTTCTGGCATTAGCCCAATTTGGGAAAGCTCTTGCATAACTCGTTCTGCATTAGCTCCCTCCTTCTCTATCTGCTTCCATGTGAGTTCAATGAATTCTAAGAAGGGGCTTGTAACAATTTATACCAATGGATGGAATACAAGGAAATGATTTGAAAACAGACCTTGTTTATTGCTATTATAATTGGCACTTCGGCTGCCCTTGCATGTGCAATTGCCTCACTTGTTTGTGGCTGAACACCATCATCCGCAGCAACAACAACAATACAGATATCAGTTACTCTAGCTCCTCTAGCTCTCATTGCACCAAATGCCTGACATATCAAAGAATTAAGAATGGCAATGTCATATGCATAAATGTACATACAACAGAAAGGGTGAAGTGTGGACTACATGACAACAGAAGTTATATTTATATACCTCATGTCCTGGAGTATCCAGAAAAATACAGGCTTGAGGGTTTCCATCTACTGGTACAAGAACCTGATATGCTCCAATCCCTTGTGTAATACCACCAGCTTCAGATGCCACCACCTGTAAGGAACTTGGGTTAGATCATTAATTGCTGAGATTAGTAATTTTATTCAAAAATAAAAAATACAAAAACTTCCATATATCACTGACAGAAGTAACACATCACAGATAAGCTATTATAAGTTTACCTTGTTTTATGTATATAATCCAACAGAGTTGTCTGCAAAACAAAAATAGCAGTGTCATGCAACCAATACTTTAGAAAAGTTGAGAGTTCCAAAACGTAGCTTCAGACTTGGTACCTTCCATGATCAACATGTCCCATGATAGTCACAATGGGAGGTCTCACTTCCAATTTATCCAAATCTTCCTCATCAAGGAACTCCTTCTTCTTCGCCATTTCTCCACTTTCACAGGACCACTTTCTAGTACTTCAACATCATATTCCATGCAAACCATCTTAACCAAATCTTTATCCAGCGTCTGAACATTGTCGAGCATAACTCCTCTCACCGATAAGAATCGTAAAATTTCTGATTCACTAACTGCCAAGTCATATGCCAAGTCCTCAATCAGCATACCTTCTTCACCAACTTCAAGGATCTCAACTCTGACTGGCTCTTCAGCTTGCATAGCCTCTAGCCTTGCAGCCCGCGTTTTGCCTTGCTCCACCTCCTACCCCTTGCGCACTGCAACACCAGAAATTGGCACATCAGCAGTATCCTCATCAACTAATCCATCATCATTGGGCATACGTCGCCGGGAACCAGCTTGTGTGTCTGGTTTTTTGCGACGATCAACTCTGACTTTTGCTGGTGGGCCTCGCACTGGTTTTAGAGGATCTAACAATTCCTCAGGTACAATCGGATCAACTGCTGCCCTCTTGGAAGCAAATTTATCAATAAGGATGGGTCCTTTTTTCTCCTTTGATGTATCAGACTTGACAGGTCGACGAGGAGGCGGTGCTACAGAAGGTTTAGATAGTAGCGGAGGGGCAGGTTTCGATGGAGATGACACTGAAGGTTTAGCCACAGGTATAGACTGACTCCTACTTTCAGTTCGTTGTTGCTCTCTAATGACCTTACGTACTGTTGGCACAGGGTTCCCCTTCCGCCATACACTCTTTAGTGTTTTTGTCTTCCTCGAATTCCCACCTTCCTCCACTAATGTTGGTCCTGGGCCATTACTCGAAACATTATTCTGCCTTGAACTAAGGTTGCCACCATCTGCATTACCAAAGCTCGAGGCTTCAAGCTTCTCTGCCTTCTCCAATACAGCGTCCAATGACTCCCTGACCTTTTCTCTGTCATCTAAAGTTGCCCCTGCTGTCTTCTGATCAGGCAGTGATACTGTTTTCATGCTCTCCGGTGGTCCATTTGGCTGGACTGGCTTCTGTGGTGGTACTGGCTTCTGTGGCGGCTTCAGAAGGAGATCATTGTCATCATCAGCCTTCACACTGACACTCCCTCTTGACGAGAACTGAACACCTTCTCCTCAATCAGATTAGTGATGACCATACACCTGCAAAGCCTCCCAGGCTCATACTGCCACCGCCTTTATGCCGTCGAACCCCGTGAAGCTGATCCTTGTGACCAAGTGCGCCTCCTTGCAGCAGCAGCAGCAGCCGGGAGTGGGCCAGACCTCCCATTGCTTCCCGAGGTTGGTGACGGAAGCAGGAGATGCCATGGCAATATACTTTTAGCAATACTGCCTTGCACTCATAAATGTTGAGAACACAAGGTGTTTGATAGCAGGGCTACCTGTTGCTGTTGGAGAATCAAATACAAAATCAAATTGTGTAACAAAATTCAAGCTCAGTTAACAGCCCCAGAATAAAATGCGTGGCTAGGAAATTTCAATTCTAAGAGAATCTGCGGAACGACCAAATTTTGAATCAGTAATCGAACTCAGTGAACACACCAGATAATAATCCTTTCTAAATGCTTGTTTGCGAGCGCGCAGTATTTAGCTTATGGACTGCACACACTGGACGACAAGGAAAAAATGTGAAAAAAAAGGAAAAAAAATTAAGAGGCCGGTTGGGCGGTGCAGGTGGCGTGGGTGGCGCCTGGAGAAGAGAAGGCGGCGTTGCGACGCGGGAGCCGGCGGGAGCCGGGGGAGCTCGAGCCGGAGACGGAGAAGATGCTGGGATTAGCGGCGGCTGCGGTCGCGGCCTCGCGGGCGGCGACGGCTGACTGCCCGAGCCGGGCGGGCAAGCGGCGGCGGCAGCGGCGGAGCGTGGTGGAGGGGAAGATAAGATATAGAGAGAGAGAGGAGGTGAAGATTAGCATGCGTGGGCGTTTCCGCTTGCACGCGCGCGCGCTAGTTGAGTTCGGGGTGCAGGGTGCTCGTTCCGCACACCAGGAAGGCAGGAACGGAAGGGAAAGGGCGGCGTACCTAGTGGACGATCGTCGCCGGCGAAGCGCAGATGAAACCTCGCCCAGCGCCGCTGCTGCCGGCGAGGAACGGGACGTGAACCACTACGGATTGGGGAAGTGTCCTTGTTCCCGAAAAACTATCGGGAGAGAGCTCTCCCGATTGGCTTATCGCGAGGGCCACGCCAGAGAAATGGGGCAGCCGCGGCAGGCTTGAATGGATGGTGATAAGGTGGCACGCCGGAGAGCCACTCAGCATATCTGCCGTGGTTGCTTTCTGGCCTGAATTTCTTTTCTTTTTTCTTTTTTTTTCTTTTGTTTCGAATAAGTGAATTCACAGTAATACTGGACCAGATTGTATGCGTGTAGGAGTACACTTTAATTTTCAGTGAATTAGATCGTTACAGAGTATTCAGTGAACTATATCATCGACGAACATTTAGTGAATTATGGTTATTGCGAATCAAACACAATATCATTGCGTTAAACACAACGAACTAATAACGAATTATTCATGTTCATCAAGGTTACTATTAGATTATCATTACGAAAATAAACATCATCAATGTAGCGATTAGTTCATCACCATTACCAAAATAAGGATCGTCTAGTAGCACTGTGTTATATTATGTATTAAGCAGTGTCAACCATGGAATATCGTTCAAAGATATTCATTTCATTGCTTCAAACACCAAATTAAACCAAATGCCAACAACAAGTTTTCTCTCTCTCAAAAAACCAAAGATCACCAAGCCTTAAACCAAAGACCAAAGACCAACCAACGAACAGGCACTATGGTGTGATTTGAAGTTGGACACGCTTGCTGGAGTGCACACAACGATCTAATGTCATCTTAGTGGGCAGTGGCGAAGCTAAGCAAATTAGAAGGAGGGTGCGCTATCATGTAGGTGCAACCATAGTGAAATTTTGATTATAGTACTGGTTTTTCAAATTTTCGTGGGTGTATCCGCACCCACAAGCTACAAACATAGCTTTGCCACTGTTATTGGGTCCGGTGGATCATTTGAAGGCACTGTGCAACAACTAGTTTATCTTGGACAGAGCTTACTTATATGCACTATATGATCCAGCGTGAATTGCACTGGTCACATTAGGTGAGGAATATTCGAGAATTTTCAGTATGACGATTAGAAAAGCAAGACGACACAGGGCCACCAGATGATATTGTGCTCCTTTATGAGACATGGCGGATCATTCGATGTTGGGTTTCTTTGAAACCTTTTTTTTCAACGGCTTCAATAGGCATTTGGAGTTCTCTCTAACCCAAGATAGCTCCACACACATATAGAGAAGCTTTGTGTAGGGTTTGAGGGTAGTTCAAGTGAAGAAGAGTGCTTGAGACTTGATAGTGTCTTAGTTTGCATCCTTTGGCTCTTGGCATGAAGGTTGGTCAAGTGAAGATTGAAAACCTAGTACTCTTGGAGTTTGTCCGCTCCTAGATAGCTCGGTGGAAGATCAGGTGTCCCTTCCGATGGAGATCTTGTTAGGAGGCTTTTAGAGATGTGCTTAGTTTAAGACCTGCCAATCCAGAGTGTATAACAGGTACACCTAGTGGATCTTGAGCCTTGGTGACTCAAGAGAACAAACATGGATTAGGTTGTAGTGGCAACTACTCGATACCATAGAGAGAAAAAAAAAACCAATTCTCTTTTCCTCTCTTCATTTTCATGAATTTTACTCTTGTCGCTTATCTTATTTTGTGTGTTAATCATTGTGTGAATCTAATGATAGATTTGCTTAGTATGTTTCTCTAGCTAGTTTTCTTTATGCGTATCTTCTAATTAAGGACATGATCAGTGTTGTGGCCTAAGGACTCGTTTTAGTGTGCTTTTATAGAAGTTTAAGGGCTAGTTCTTGCTTAAGGGTGAAGTAGTATATAATAGATTAAAGTTTGTTAATTTAAATTTTTAATGTCTTAGGGCTTATTTGGTACGGCTTATATAAACTGCTTATGGTCAAAATAAGTTTAAACCAATAACCAAACGGGGCGCTTTTTTGCAGCTTATCTCGATCGCGTTTATTTTCACCACTCTCATTTGTACTTAAAAAAACAAAAGCTAGATCAGACCAGCTAATTTTGATCGTCGCTTCTACTCTATTTGTACAGCTTATCTGGGAAGCGCTTCCCGGATAAGCTGTACCAAACAGCCATAGTCGTCCTCGTACATGGTGCTGCTCAAATGCAGATGCGGAGGCCAGCAGTCTCGTTCGTCTTTCTCCTTTCTTCTCCGTGTTCGATGTGCGAGTTCCTCTCAGCAAATTCGTCGTATGCTTGGTAAACTTGCAAGTTCCTCGAGAATTTGGTGTAAGCAACGTGACTGATAATATGTTTGAATCGATGTACTTGGAATGCAAATCCAGAGAGAGAAGATTGAACACAAGATTGAGAGAATAAAATTGCTTGCTTGCTTGATCTCTTGTTGTTACCTATTTATATACAGGCGGCGTCGGACGCGCCGGGAATCAGTGACAGATGAGCAAGATGGGAGTTTGGATCGCTTTCTCGGGAAACTGATCCGCCCGATGATCAGGTGTCTGGAATCTGGATGAATCTTAGGGGTACATGCTCGACACACACCAACCAAACTCCAAATGCATCTTGTCTATCTGCGGGGCTAAAGGATGGCCAGTCCAGTTGGTTAACTGAGATATGCTAGCCACTCCGACGGCACCCTCCAGGTCTTAAGTTCGATTTTCAGTGGGAGCGAATTTCAGGGTGGGGGTTAAAAAAATCCCCTCGCCGGTCCTGGGTGCCAAAGCACTGGTTTAAAGGAGACGGCCCATCTCACGGGTTACGTCTCCTAATGTCGGGTCGGGGATGGGGTTCGGGAGTTTTCTCGGCCTGTGTAAGAAGGCCTTCTTCTTACGTATAATGTCCGGAGGACGGCTTGCCCCTCGCCATGTGTGGCGAGGAAGATGCGCCGCCCACTGTCCGTCGGAGGGAGGTGTGTGGTGAGGAAGATGCGACCGGCGGGGAGATGTGCCTGGTTGAGGGAGTCAAATGGCGGGGGCAAGGCGAGGAGCGCCGCCCTGAGCCGAGAGTAGGAGCGGAGAGAGAGGAGTCTGGAGGGGAATGGTGAGGGTGAAGATAAGGATGGGAGGTGAGGAAAGTCTGTGCGCGCTCTCGTGCCTGTTTCCCGCGTGTCCACGCAGACTGTGGATAAGTTTGTCCGCTCGTTTTCTAGTGACCGTGATATACAACATCTAAGAGGAATATACCATGTTCTGGATATCCATGCCCAACTTATCTATGGAACCAAAACAGGTCTGAGATATCCCTGTTCCAACCATGGATACTCCATCAACCTAACACATCCTAACAGGGACGCGCGCGAGGCTAGAGTTTTGTAGGGGAGAATAAGAGGGGGACGCGCGCGAGGCCAGCTGGATTCACGCGCCCTCCAGCAGGTCTGAGTTTTTTTTTTTTTTTTTTGTCTATCTGCGGGTCAACAGGAGGTGCTCAATACTAGGTTTCACATGACCGTGTGCAGAGGTATAAAAATAGCTCCTGGGAGCTTACTGGTGTCAGAATGTACTGGCATTACAGAACCATGAGGAGTACAAGGTTATTTCAAGATCCTTTTGTTCGGTGTACAAGAGTTATTGATGAGCAAGTATACAAAACACGTTTCATGGTCCCTTTGTATGCATTTGTCAGAACTTGCCTACTGCTATATAAGTTTATAACATCCTTGTTATTATGCTTTGGCAAAAAAAAAAAGTATTACCTCAACTTGTCATATGTATTTTCTATACTTACATAAGTAATAATCTACATTGGCTGTGTTGTAGAAAGAATTAATTTGATCAGAATTCAAAGAATCAATAGAATCGTTGATTGTTGATGACTCCCCTGAAAGTATGATCTATGTCACCCTGATGTGGAAGCTGGTTTGCCGGGACGCCAGAAACTCTTTGTAGCAACAAGAAATTGCTGTTTCACGATGACAGTTTCATAGTGCAGAGACTTCAGGATTGGGCGCATCTTTTTTATCATCTCTACTGTGTCTTTCAACACAAACCATCTTCCAGGTCTCAGTATTCTGTCAATTTCAACCACCACTTCGATGATGTCACACCTAAATAAAAGATACAAATATCACCGCAAGTTCCTGACAGAATGAGTGCACAAACAGCAGAAGTAATAAAGGTGTGAGAATTCACCTATTTGTAAGACTTCCAATGAGATTACTCATGTGGAGAAGATCATAGGTACGAGGGTAGGTGTTGAAAGATTCGCACCAGTCATGATATGCCCCAATCAAACCTCTGTCGAAAATAAGTGACAAGGTATCTGGCTGACCAATTGGTGCAACATTCATAACCCATAAAGGTCGATCAATGAGTGCTGCCGCAAACCTGGTTCAACAAAAGAAGTTTGATTAGCATTCCCATCATGAAATGGAGTCTCCAATTAGTTTAATACCAATTGATTGTTATGCAGATCGGCATGCATACAAAACAATAAGATCTTTGATATCAGTGCAACTGTAAGTTTATGGGGCCTCTGCCTTACCGACTTTGCAGTAAGTCAGAAAGTAATAGAATAAAAAAAGGAGTAACCACTTAAGGCATTGCTGAAGCAAGGATGATTATATTCAAGGTTTCAGGCTATGGTTCAGCATAAGTTATCCTAATTTCGCTAACAAAAACTTTCAGATTGAAAGGCAGCACCCTGCTTTATCAACATATGCTCGGCAGATCTGCCAACCATTAAAAAAAAAAGGAGACTGGAGTGCAAAATCTCATGTTACATTATCCGTTTATAATACCTTGTGCTCCATATATAAGAAACAATTGAAAGATATGGTCTTAGAATCCTTAATGTCGTCCCAACATTTAGTGAATAATTAACTTCTGCCTCTAACCCTCCATAGCAGTCTGCTGTGTGAGAGGCAGCGCTACTAGCGCTTGTACGATGTAACTCCTTATTAATATTAAGCCAGGCAACCGGATCTTTAAAAAAAAAAACTATATAAGAGAAGTAGCAGTAGAAATTTGTCTTTACTTACCCTCCAAAACCAGCATTCATGTCCATTACATTGCGAATGCTTGACCAATTAAGTGGGAAGTCACTGAAATATACTTCTGAAACGAGCTGTTTCCAATACTTTGTATCAGCTTCAAGCTTCTCTTTGTTAGAAGCAGAATCATCAGGTACACTTGCATATCTAACATCAAGTCCTTCAGGCCATGGAACAGGCCAATTGTATCTTTCATCTGAAGTGGTAATGGCGGTTGAGAAAAGGCAACTATCAAGAGGAGCATACCTGCAAAAGCAAAAACAAGGGCAATGGTATACATGACATTAGATAGAAAGATTGAATGGCATCATGTTAACTCTATTTGTCAGTGAACCAGTAAAGTTATAATCAGAAATACGCATTTGGAGGCGACAAGACAAATTTAATAAGTTGTGACCTACCAAGGAAAACGTGATCCATCTCTCTCGGAGCATAGAGGGGGTTCATTGGTCTTCCTTTCAGCATAGCAAGAATTCAATGCGGGCTTTTGATATATAACAACTCCAATTCCATTGACATCTTGAGATTTTACCACTGTTCTCCAGCAGATTGATTTAGTCAGAGTAACCATTGCTGCACAAGCAGAAACGGACATTTCAATTAGCATGGAAAAATATTCACCAAATGACAAAATTTAGATAAAATCTCTAGGATGTTGTATATTCTCGATAGAATATATGACAGCCCACGAACCGTTCCAGTCGTCTTGGTCTCTTTTCTCTTGACGGTAGACAGGGGTTGCAGACCAAATGAAATATCCTCCAGGCCTTAGCACTCTATTAAGCTCCAACAGTGGTTTTCCACCTGCCATTCAAAGTGGAAGATTAATTAAACAAAAAAATCAAGGAAAATAAGAATACACTTCACAAAACAGGACAGAAAATATAAATCTACATTATTTTGTTTTTTATCAATATTGTGAAGAAATAGAATACTTGCCATTTGCATGCCAGTGGACCCTGCACCTTGCACAGTGTACAACATCGAACGTATTATCAGGAAACGGAAGCTTTTGTGTTCCAATTACTGCTAGAAATGCTGGAATTCCACGCTCTAGTGCAAATTGTATCTGAGCCTCATGCTCATCTTTTGGGCAAATGACATAGTAATGACATTCCTGTCAAACAGGTACCCACCAAAGCTGGCAACACCACATCCAACATCCAAGACAGTTCTGGTGCGCCTTCCCCATTGTATGGTTGGCATAATCTAAAGATGAAATTTATCAACAGTAAGTTACAAGGAGATAAAGAGAAACAGCAAGTTGTTACAAAACTAATGTACTTGAGTATAAAATGACTAAACCCCCAGCATAAGAAATTATATTTAGCAACCCAAGCATGGCCTTTATGTTCAACCCCGACCAGCAAAGACTCAAATGGCATTGAACAGACTGAGCAGCGAGCAAGGCAGTGAATTGATCAAAGGAAATACACAAGAGAAACACCTCAATTCGCATGATGCATGCAACTCACTTGTCTATCAAAGTACTTAACGAAATTCCTCCGCGGAGTTAAGCTGTCCCAACATAGAGAAAAGTGATTTGGTAATGTTTACCTGTTCAACAAACTGAATGTATCTTCCCACGCCATCTTTGAATTGAGTTCCACCTCCAGGAAAAACAAGATAATCACCAACTCAGTTCTGATCTTTCTTATACTCCCCCAGCTTTGGGTGAGGGACGTTGTTGTACCAAATCTGGATTTGCGGTGAAATGAAACACAATCAGATAGTCAGCCACCTAATGGCATCATAAAAAAAATGTGTCGGACAAACATAATTATAAAGAGGAATTTACTATCTTACCAAAGGATGCATTAACTGATATATCAGATTTGAAAGAAGTAGCCCCATAAGTTATTTACTTATTTGTCATAGAGTCCATGTACAGAAAGAGTATTCTCTATCAAGAGATTCCAGATCCCCAAACGTATACTCTCACTGTGCTGCTGAAGTATAGCAAGTAGCAACTTCCAAAAACAGAGAACGTCCTTAGTTTGTAGTGCAAATCGAGTATTCTAATATGAGAATCAAAAGTTTTTTTGGGGAGTCCCGATCCATGGCCTGTAGTTAGTATATTAAAATAACAAACACTAGCACCGCTAGCAGCCCAACCAAAAACCATTCTCACGATCATGATTCATGAATGCCAAATCATTGTAAGCACCTTGAATATTATTATAAACGAATAAACCAAATAGGATCAACAACCAGAGCCACTTCCGTCCCTTACCGACAAAGGCAAGCGAAGCGACGCTAGCGCGGGAGGTCCTCACCATGTCACGGCTGCGCGGCCACGGCACAGGCGTCCGGTACCCTGCGGGCAGCGGCACCAGGCATCTGAGCCGGGGCGGCAGGGGGCAGTGCCGCTCCCGGTGCTCCATGTGCCGCCTCGACCGCAGCGCCTTGATCGCCCGCACGTTGTCGAGGCACGGGATGTAGTCCGTCGACGACACGCCCCTCCCCAGCCTGCTGCACGTCTGCCACCTCACTCTCACCGGCACCTCCTCGCCGTCCCCACCCTTCTCCACCGGGGCGACGCTTGTATCCGTCTTCCCGTCTGCCTCGACTCCCTCGGCATCGCTGTTGTCGCCTGCTCCCGGCGAGCCGCTGGCTTCCTCGGTGGATGGTTCCGATGCGCTACTGTTGGCATCGGCTCCTTTTGTGACGACTGGCTGCGATGCACTAGCACCAGTGTCCTCCTCGTCGGTGGCGCTCGAGCCATCTGGTTCCGAGTGAGGTGGGCTTCTGCTTCTCGGGGTGTGGTTTTGCTGTTGGGGAAGAAGAGGAGGTGCGAGGGAAGGGGCTGAGGCGGAGAGACGGGAGGGGAGGAAGGCGAGCGATCCAGGTGAGGGGTCGAGGAAGAGGAAGACAAGGACGAGGATGGCGGAGATGAGGAGGAAGAGCGAGAGCGAGAGGAGGAAGGGCCGCCTCGCGCGGTCGGAGGAAGGGACGGCCATCGTCCCTCCGCGGCGTCACTGGTGCGGCGTTGAATTGTGATCTGCTTGGCGAGTGGAGCCAACCGGAGGACTGAAAGAAGGCGGCGGCAGTGGCGGGTGGTGGGGTTCGGCGGGCGGGTGGGCGGGTTTGGAGCGGAAGCGGACCGTCGCGGCCACGGCTGCTGCGTTGGCGCCTCGGCGGCCGCGGTGGAGGATGGCGGGAATGGAGATTTTTTAAAAAATTTTAACCCTTTTTGAAAATTAATTTTAAATCTAGCATAGCCTTTTTTTAACTAACACTTTTAGCCGCGCCTATTGCCCTGGCGCGGCCAAATGCCTGTGCCGCGTCATGCATAGTGGCGCGGTAGAGGGCTGACGTGGCGACGACCGGATTTGATGACCGTTGACATGGCAGGGCCTGCCGCGCCACCGACCTTGGCGTAGCAGTGCTGCGCCCTGATCCGTGGCGCAGCAGAGCCGAATAAAACCCCGCGGCCAGTCCCGCCTACCCGAGCAGCAAGCCCGCCGCCCGCCCGACGGTACCTGGACGGTTTAATCGGAACGCGTCGCGCCGATAGTGGGAGTTATTCTAAGTATTGTTTGACGTAAAATCAATAGTGGATTTGTTTCTGTCTTTTGTTGAATTTTTTTCACGACCGAACAGAGAATTTGATAAGCCAATGATTTTTTTTGTCTTTCATAATATGGTTAACCACCATGTTAACTAATCGATTACGAAAAATTGGATCGGATTGAAACGAATATTTTTTAAGGGAACTTATTTATTTGGCTTTTTGGCCCCATATTATAGGATCAGCGGCGACGCGACCATGGACCCCGGCTTCCTCGACCCCTCACGCAAGACGCCGGCCACCGGCGTCGAGATACCCCGGGACTGCCGGTTTCCGAACTAGTTGCTACTTAATCTCGCATATAGTGATGCCGCGACGCATTGAAACGAATATGAAGCAAATAAATGAAGTCCGTGCGCAAGTTGACAAGTTGCCACATAACATTTTCATTGGTTTGACATAAGTTCGACATAACATAACCAACTAAGCCTGCAAGTTTGGAACGCCAATAATAGTTCGACTTAACAAACTAAGACCCAGGAATGTAAGCATCCCTCGGACGCCTCTGTCTCTTCGGATTTGTTGGCAACACATTAGGAGTGTAGCCTACGTCGGTGTGGTCGTGTGGCCGGTGCGTACGGCTCGAACCCTGCAAGTATATGATATGCACAATTACTTAGAATTCTTTATGATCGTTAGTTCATGTAGCCTACGTATTTAAAGAAACTACCTTTGTTAGTACCTGTAATGCTCCTTGGATACCAAGCGGAGCACCACCTAGCTGAGACATGCCGATCTCGTCCTGCGACCAATCATCCCACTGGTCGTGCTGTCTGCGAAAGCCCGGGGGTCGTCGTCGTCGTCATCGTCGTCCTCGGTTGTAGGGTTCTTTCCAACGCTATGATGTGGTGGTATACGCACCGCGGAAGTAGCATCTATCACCGGCTGAGAAGAGCCGGCTAGTGTCCTCAAAGAGGTTGAAGACGTGCCACTCGACCGCGCCGGGAGTGGTGGTTCCTCATAAGGAGTGTCCATGCAGCTCAGCTTTTGAGCTAGCTTCCTGCAGCTCTTCTTCACCTTCTGCATAAATAGATGTTAAAGTTAGTGCATTTCCTAAACGCATAACTAAAGAAACATTTTCGGAACGGACTAGTTTATGTTTACCTCCACAAAAGCCTCGAGAACGCCTGGCCCCTGCCCTCTAGACTCGTGAAGCCGGAACGCTGCTTCGTTGAATAGCCTCGACAATTGTGTCGCCTGGGTACAGAAACACGGTTGAACAGTTTTAGTATACATACTTAATACCAAATGGATAACAAATTGTCCCATTCAAGTATCTTACCATGTATCTTTGTAGCGGGGCTCTCTGTAGCTGTGTATCCTCTCTAGTGGCAACGTCGTACACATCTTCGATCACATCTTCCTCCGAGTCCTCGTCAATCGCCTCCTCAGTGTATGGGGGCTTGATATGTGTCCTCATAGACCTGTGAAGCTAGCGCAAGTACTCGTTGAAGGTGTGCTGGTCGTGTGGAGGATCCGCATGGACCGACTGTCGTTCCCTGGTCTCCCACAAGTGTATGTGCGCGTTGTGTGTCACGCGCCAATCCTTCGTCTTGTACCTCTTCCTACGATCATACCTGCAACAAAACGATGTTAGTTGTACCACACACACATCTGAATTGTAGCTTTGTTATTAATCGATAACACACCCGTGCAATCCTTGGTTGGTGGAGTAAAGCGGTGGTGGGCAGCTTGTCATTCTTCCAAACTGTCTGCAGACCCTAATGGGCAAGTGAATCTCGACCATGTGAAAGAAAATAAGAGGGACGTTGCAGCGATACTCCTCTGACTCGTCCCTAGTGATAGGACTGATATAGTACTGGAGCTCCGGAGCATCCTAAGGACACCAATGCACCTGAATATTTCGTAATTGAGTTAGGCTGTGATATAGTGTAGATCGAACAAGACACAAGTATGATAGTAAAGAGAGCGTGACCTGGTGCTGTGTCAGGACGTCGAGACCGTCCGTGTACTCCCTGTACTTGCGCCTCGCATTCCCTCTAACTAACTCTGATTCCGTCCAGATAAACAGAGTTGTAGGGAGTGTATCCTGCCCGTTCCATTGCTGCATTGAATACGATAATGAATTAGCCATTAATAAACTCATCATATGTAACCTTATCGAAGAATATAATAAATCGAAGTACTTACCGGTAAACCAGTATTAAGGGGTCTCCCAACGGGCCATCGTTCTCAACACCAAACCTGGAGTAGGTACGAGCAACCCCCAAGGTTCGCATACCCTGAGGTGCGATGGCAGGCAACGCATAGCTGTCGATACGTCTATGCCAGGACTACGCTGCCCTAGCTGTACGCCGCTATGTTCTCCCACGGCTGGCGTAGTATGTCAAGGAAGATCCAGCTGATGGTGTTGCCCGAGGCGTCTGGGAAGAGGAAAGCACCAAGAAAGTGCCAGAGCCACACTCGAGCGAACATATCGATCTGAGCCTCCTCAGCCTGTGGGTCCAAGTAATCAAAGCGTTCCGTGATCCAGGACGACGAAACACCGGAAGTTTTCCTAAAATTGGCCAAAGAAAATGAGACCCGATGGCTGCAGGAAAGCAATGCAAGTATTAAATAGGCTTGAATTTCTCACTTATTTTTCTTGGAAGCCTCGTCGTCCGGTGGAAGAAAGCCAGTAAACTGAGCCACCAGCTCCCTCCAGTGATCGTTGTCAACTATCCCTGTCACTAGAAGTCCCCCCAACCGAAGGCCAAAAATAGCTTTTACGTCCTGCATGGTCAAGGTCATCTCGCCACAAGGTAGGTGGAACGTGTGGGTGTCAGGCCTCCACCTGTTATAAGAATAGAACAACTGTTAGTTGCCTCAAATTTATTATAAGAAAGTTTACATACCAAGAATGCACTCGCACCTGTGTACAGCTGCAGTCGTAGTAGTACTGGGTCAAGGGACGGAAGACCGTGGTTGACAACACGGATAAGCTCGAGGAAGCCAGCACGCTGTATGTACGACGCGTAACGCTCGTGCCACTGGTGCGCCCTGGTGTACGTGCGGGGCCTCAAAGTAGGCAAGGCCACCTCTGTGTCGTTGTCACTCAAGATGTGTGCTCGGTGCTGGTCGTCGCACTCCACCTCAAGAATGGGGTACAACGGGTGCTGCGTGGGAGGGGACATCCTGTTACAAATTAATAAACAAAACATTAGAGTATTCAAATTAACAAAATTCAAATTAACATTATGTAGCATTGCAAAATTTGAACTACTTGTTATGCAATACGAACACAATATGAAAACACATGTATATATTCAAAGTAACATTAACAGACATATCACGCACTAGTAACATAAACAACTTCACTAGGAATATAAGCATTTGACGAAACTTCATAAAGTCATCAAAATCAACGTATCACGCACTAGTAAGTACCGACATTTATAAACTAGTATCTATACCCAAAATCCTAACTAAATAACTAACTATAAACTAAATAATAAATACTTAATCAATCTCTAAACCCAAAATCATAACTATACTAAAACACACAATCTCAAACCTAAAAACTACCAACATAAATCACAAACAAATTTACTAACCTAACTATCCTAAATCACTAACTATCATAAATCAATAACAATCATAAAACCCTAACTATCATAAATCACTAATTATCCTAAATCAATAATAATCAACATAACATGAAATCGAGATGGAGGTACCTTAGGATCGGGCGGCCTTGACGCGCCGGCGTTCGTGGCGCAGCTGGCGCGGGCGCTGTTTGGGGAGTGGGCGGGCGCGGCGTGGGCGGGCGCTGCGCGGCGGCGGGCGGGCGGGCGGGCTCGCTCGTGATATTTATTTGGCCCTGCTGCGCCATGCGCCGTGGCGCGGCACTGCGACGCCAAGATCGGTGGCGCGGCAGAGCCCTACCACGTCAACGATCGTGAATCCGGTCGCCGCCACGTCAGCCTCTGCCGCGGCACAGGCATTTGGCCGCGCCAGGACAATAGGCGCAGCCAAAAGTGTTAGTTTAAAAAAAACAGGCAGTGTTAGATTTAAAATTAGTTTTTAAAAAGTGTTAAAATTAAAAAAAAATCGGCGGGGAAGGGGATGGTGCTGGTCGTTTTCCGATGGTGGCATGGAGCTTTTGATTTGTTTTCACTTCTTTTTTTCCTGATCATGAGTTTGTTGCTACGCTACACACTGCGATCTCAAAGGGTCCTCGGTTCTGATTTCTCAACTAACCATAAAGGCCAGAGACAAGGGTTAATTTGAGTTGGCATAGTATATATTGATGAAATGATGAGTAAATTTGAGTTCTCCAGTGTAAAATTAAGTCGGCCAATTTAAGAGTTTACCTAATCGGTTGTTTTATGGTAAGAAATAGTTTGAACCATCTAGCTATGCTACATCAGTCCAGTAATTTATGATTTG